ACTGGCGGTAGTAGTAATTTATATTACTGTTTCAGTTTTTAGAAGATTGTTCTAAGTTACAAAAAATTAAATTCCTTTTGTTTTTTTATTGCATTAAAGTAGCACAAATTATTTGTGTTTTATTGAAGTTACACGAAATGTATTATTTATTTAAAAAAATTATTACACCTATTTATCAAAAATACGGTTATTTATTAAAAATATTACACTTATCCCATTGAAGAAATGTTTAAATAATTTAAATTCGACTATTTAATTGAAAATTATTAAGATTTATGACAAGAATATGAAAATATTCAAATTTCTCCATTAATAAACATTACAAGAGATATAAATAATTTCGAAAAAGACATATTTTTAAAATACGAAATAGACGTTTTATTTCTATAATTTATTTTTTTAGTATATCCGTAGGATGAAACGAATAAAGGAAAGCGGAGCGTCATTTAGAAAGAAAAAGAAGGCAAGAGAGGAAATACAGAATAAAAACACTGGAGCACTACTCAAATACATCTCCCGTGAATCAACTTCTAGTTCTTTTAATATTGTTGCCTCAAGTACTGGCTAAGAAGTAGCCCTCGAAGGCGAAAAAACTTCTTCCAATGTTGTTGAAGAGGAAAGACCTGCCTCACATACTGGCGAAGAAGTAGAAAGTTCATCAAGTTCTGATGAAGAGTTTGCTGCACAAATTATTCCGTCTATTTCTATGAAAGATTTTCGATTATGGCCTAACAAGGTTGACGACAATACAAGACTATTCCTGGTACGTCAAGGTCCGTTTGCAATTCAAAATTTAGACGCCGATTTCAGTGAAGGAGTAAAACGTCCTGGTAATACAATCAAAGCCAAAGGTGAAACAAGAAAGCTTAATGGCGACTGGTTTTTTCAAATTCTGCCTAATGGTGAAAAGCTGTTAAGATCGTGGATGGTGTATAAAAGAAAAGTATATATTGTTTTTGTTTCAAATTGTTTGATGATCTTTGTCAACCAAGTTTTAACACGGAAAATGGTTTTAACAAATGGTGGAAACTTAATCCCAAAATAAGTCGACACGAGTTGAGCCCACTGCACATTCGATCATTTTCCCAATGGAAGGAATTAGAAATTAGACTTGGACATGGCGTAACTTTAGATAAACTACAACAACAGAATATTGATGAGGAAATCAAAAAATGGAAGGAAATTTTTACAAGAATACTTGATATAATTAGATTCTAAGCAAAACAAAATTTGGCGTTTCGAGATCATCGTGAAAGTGTTCATCAGGAAGACATCAATTCAATGGGAAATAGAGGAAATTTTCACAGTGGAGTCGTTGAAGGGGTTACATGTAATAAAATAAAATTGTTTTTAAAATTGATTGAAATGAACTATCGATGTTAAACTTAATACATATAATTTAGTATTAGAGACTCTTTTTAATGGAAATGCTTTTAACTATATTAAAGGCAGAAAACGATCAAACTTCACTTGTTAATGAACAAATTACAAATTATTACTTTGAAAGAAAAAAGAGCATGATGTGAACCTGTAACAGTTTATTATTTTTATTTAAAAATAAGTACAGAATAAAACAAATAAATGGTTTATTTTTTATTATAGATAAAATAGCATTACCTACGAAAAAGTTACATTAATTTACAAACCATTGCTCTTTACTGCAATATACAATAAATTCAAATTCATACCATTAGTAAGCTATATTGCCATATTTGTGATAAAACCATTACATATTATGTTCAAAATGACGTCATTTACTCTCATATGCATATTATTCATACACATTTTGCAGTTGCTGTTCTGTTATATTCGTAACATCGCTACCCAAACGCCAAACCATGCTTCGTCAGTGAAAAACAAGTTCAACAAATTATTATTCATGTTTTGTATATACCACTCATAGAACTGTAAGAATCGTCTTCCATAGTCAATCGGAAATAATTCCTGCACAGCAATTATCTTGTATGGGTGTTTTTATAAAGCTAAATGAAAATTTTAGGATATTAACTATACTTCTAATCTCAAATTCAAATAAAAATGTAAAAGTTCAAACATTTTAGAGACAGAAACTAAATTTGAGAATGATTGCACCAACTTAAGAAAAAAAAAACCTGTTTGAGCAGACAATTTCGATGCGGACTTTATAGGACTCTGATTTATTCATTGCTGCATATTATCAGTGACATTTTCTGTAAGTATAGCAGGTCTTAGTCTTGGTAGATTTTGCTTTGCAAATACTGAATTTGGTTTGGTTTCAAATTTTTTGAAAGTAGCACATTTCGGTTTAAGAAAGTATTCAATGTTTGCGTCTGGAAATTCCGTCATAAATTGTTCAATGCAGGATAAAGGTAGAGTATCTCCATGACCCGTCTTTGTTTCGAGTTCCGTTTCGAAAATGAGCCATTACAATAAAGGCATCTTGTTCTGGAGTAAACGGCAGAATGCGTTCTGAAATAAAAATATTATTAACCTCAAAATTTTGTTTCTGTTATAACTTTCCAATAAATCGACGAAATGCCAAAAGTTTATCTGCGAAAACAACTGATTGATTTGAAATATGTACGATTTAATATTAAAGCAAAAAAAAAAACAATCAAACGATGGCAGTAAATGAACTCAAACGAAAACAAACACGGACGACGGACCCCACTGAAAATGCACGAATGTTAATTTAACATCATCGGTCGTAATGACTCGTTTACAATAAATAGTAACAAATCATTGCGTTTACACTGGAAATAATCCGATCGCTAATTGGTTGAATGAGTTATACAGTTATACAGTTACAAGAACATTTACAGTTAAACTTATTCCTGATGTCCAGTCTGGATTTAGAACAGAGGTGCACTCTTGCATGTTGTTGATGACGTCATTGGTGGAACTGATAAAGGTCTCTGTTCTGTTTTAGTTCTATTAGATTTCAGTAGAGCCTCTGATACAATAATTTATTATGTCCTTCATGTGAGCCTTAATTTATAGGACTATCAACATTTAAATTGATTGACAATTACATAGGAAATCGGTTTCAAAAAGTGAGATTAAACGGTAATGTCCTATTGCTTATTATTAAAGTCGGGCGTACCGTGCAAAGAGAGCGAGTACCTCCTTAAAGTGAACAGCTAAAGCGACGGTTTTGACCTTATTTAGCGACCCATTACAAACTACAGTAGACAAAATCTCAATTTCGCCAAACTAGCACTATACAAACTACTCACTGAGAGCGGACTTAGTGACACAACCGCTATACAAACCACGGAATTGGTGCGGACCAGTTCACATACAGTTGATGGCAAAAAACGTAATATAAACCAGCAAGGGGATCATGAATTTCACCTCGTTTCGAATTCGACATCCGACAGTTTAATTCGATTCGGATAGAATGTAGCGATCATGAAATTTAATCGAATTATGTTCGTGTTTTTCCGTAACTTTTATCCCATTATATCAAATTATTCTATTAAATGAAAACGTAGCCAACTTCTTGTTAATACATTTAACAACATAACCTCTTATAATTTCTAATTTGTGAATTCGTTTTCTTTTTGCCGATGTTTAAATTAAAGGTAAGAAACCACTACTATATAGAAAAACGTGTGTTGTCATCACTCATTTTTTTTAGTTTAAAAAATGTTGCCCATCATGCACCAAGCTGTGTTAGCTGAAAGACACTGGAGGAGAAAAGAAATATTAATTTTACAAAGAAGAGTCCTTAGAGAAACTCATCAACCTTTTCAGCTGCCTTCACAGGCGTTTATTAATTTATTTAGATTAAATAAAATGCTCGCTAGGGAACTGATAGATTTGTTAAGACCACATTTATTTAATCGTGTTAACAGGCGTGGGGTTACTGCTGAATGTGCTGTGCTGTGCAGCTTGAGATTTTATGCAACAGGGTCATATCAGAGGTCTCTTGGTGAATACAATTTTGGATTGGGCCAAAGTACAGTACAGAAATATATTCATATCGTCACTGATGCTATTGTGGAACATATCGTACCACTGAAAATAAAATTTCCTACACAACAAGAAGATCGTAATAGAATAAAAGTAGAATTTTTAAACAGATGGGGATTTCCAGGAACTATTGGAGCTATTGATGGAACCCATATAGCAATTTTGAAACCCACTGTAGATGAACATAATTTCATCAATAGGAAAGGCTTTCACTCCATTAACACACAAATTATTTGTGACTATAACTTAAGAATAACAAATGTTTACGCAAATTTTGGTGGATCTACCCACGACTCTTTTATATGGAGAAATTCAGCCATACGAGAATATATCAGAGACCTACAAAGAAATGAAAGGTGTTGGTTGATAGGTGACTCTGGATATCCATTAGAAACTTGTCTGTTAACACCCTTTCGTAATCCAAACACAGTAGCAGAACAACGATATAATACAGCATATATTTTGGCACGAAATTGTGTGGAAATATGCATAGGGGTAATGAAGATGAGATTTAGGTGTATAATGCAAGAACGAAAACCTAGATATGCACCAGAATTTGCTTGCAAATTAATAAAAGTTGCAGCAACACTACATAATATATGTATTGATGGAAATATTCCACTGAATGAAGAAATTGATGTGGAGTATCGTAATCACCGTAATGCTGACAATAATTTAGAAGACCCTGAAGGCATGCAAAGACGAAGATATATAGTTCATCAATATTTTGAATAAATATAACTTCTCATTTTGCAAAATCATTGTTCTAGTACGTAAGGTAGAATTTTTTAATTTCAAGTGGAATAATAGCCAATTGCTATGACTTCACTCATGTGTTTTTGTACAATTAAAACTTTATTATTATATTATTTTTGGTTTCCATCACCGAATATAAACATACTGTAAGACTAAACCAATGAATTTTAAGGCATATATATATATTGTTTTATTTTTATGTCACTGGCAACCAAAAATATATTAAAAATTAATACGTTTTACTTTTTCATTATTTTGTTACAATTGAAAAGAAATAGCTTGCATTATTTTCCAAATTTATTGATGTTAAACATTTAAACAAAAATAAATATTTTAATACAAAAACAAACAACACTCAAATGGAACGATGAAACTGCAACATCATTTTTTGTCAATAATATTGTGCAAAATATTGGCAATCTCTGCTAGCCTACTGTCAATAGTGTTCTTTATATCTTTTAATACATTAATAGTTTCCTCATATTCATCAGAGTATTTGTCTCTCTTTCTTTTTTTATTTTGTGTATAAATATGGTCATGGGCCAAAGGTGTAGTAGGTGATGAACAAAAAACTGTCATAATATCGGCTGATGTGGAGCTTGTTGACATAGAACATACATTAGTAAGTTCAGCACGGGGTTCAATATTTTGTTCATTTACAAATTCTACTTCTACATTACGAGAATTTTCTGAAAACATGAAAGGTGATATTCCGGCATCAGTGGTGGGTAGCCCTACCTCTGAGCAACCCATACCTTCATAAAATGAAGATCCTAAAATAGATAATACTCTTTCCTCATGTTTCGTAAATTTTTTGGAATTGCTGGGTCCCCCTCCTGTGGCCTGTTGATCTTTTTTTATTTCAATGGCCTTTTTCTTTAAATTTTGTTTAAAATCTGTCCATGTCTGAAAAAAATTATTTTGATCATTAGTTTGTATACAGCAATCTGTTACAATTCAGTACGTATAATGAAATAGTTTTTCTTGAATATTCAATTTTCCTTACTTTTTGCCATTTTTCACTAGTCTTGGTTCCATAACCTAGGGCATTTAAATTATTTGCTAATTCTTCCCATTGTTGTCTTTGGATTTGTCTAGCATTGGGTCCTATGGCTCTCCCAGTAGCTAAATTAGGGTGTATTTGGAAGTAGTTAAAGATGATCTCCCAGTGGGTATCATTAACTCGGCAAGACATTCTAAAAGTAATGATTGAATGAATTACTCAATATTACTACTACTACTAATTAACCATACTATAAAAATATATCCTACCTCTTAATCTCTAATCTTCAATATTTCTACTTCATAGATAAGTGCTTCGTTTTTTCTTTATGATAATCTAAAGTCAGATACCTTTTAACCTCACTCTTTTCTCAAGCAAGCCCCAAACAGAGTAAGACAGATCGAAAAAAAGATAGAGATGCGGACAAATTCGACTGCTCTCTGGGTATCGAGTTTTAAGAGCGGATGGAGTCGAAGTGAAACAGTTTCGTGATCGCAATTTAGAAATATCCGATCGAAAATGGCGGATTCACATCGGATCGAAATTTTCATGATCCCTGTGCAGGGCTGATCTGTCGAAATATCCCACTTCTTGGATGTAAGAGGGGGCAAGCTAACGGCTAAGTGCAAGTTTATGTTGGAGCGGCACTCCAAGCAACGACATAAGCCACGGGCCGAGCTATACGCCAACGGCCTAGACAAATGTTACGAGGAGTGCGGCAGATGTACATGTTGGAGCGAAATACTCTTCTGGTCAATAAATTTCAGTTTTGTAACGTCTTGGCCCCAGTTTTAAGCTGAAAATCATATCAATATGTCTCGTCGACTTCATCTGATGATGACATAGTGTTAGAATCTACTGCTAATAAATGCTGTTTGCTTAATAGCATACAAAAAAGGAAATATTGTGTACATCCCATAAACCGGGGACAAAAAGTATTTCGTCATTTCTACCCAGAATTAAGAAAATTCCCAGATCGATTTTTTGAGTATATGAGGATGAAACTAGAAACATTTGACTACATTGTTAACCTTTTAAAACCCACAGTGAAGCAACAATGGGGAAACTGCCATAGTATGCCAATTGAAATAGAAGAGCGGCTTGTAGCTACTCTGAGGTAAGTACTTTTTATTTGTGAATGTCAAATAATATTTTATACGAGGCTAAAGAGGTTGTTTTCTTTTTTTCCATTAAGTCTATCTAATAATAGAGAAAAACATCTTTATTCTACTCAAAAACAGTACTACATAAAATTTCTCACATTTCATTGTTATACTGTATATTCATGCAAATAATAATATCGATAGTAGGATATAGGTACATAATCCACTGTCAATAGGTATTAGTTTTAATAATTGTGTGGTAATAATGTTTAAATAAAATCTTGAAATTTTTATTTAATATGTAATTTATTTATTGTATGCATATGATATAGAAAAAAATTTAGATACAAATAATTATTTATTTATGTTTATAAAACGTGTTTATTATATTTTCATAATCATCGTATTATTAAAGTTTTTCACTTTTTTACAACATCATTGCTGTTTTCACTTATAATATCAGCATTTGAATAATGTATTTTCCATTACAAATTGTAAGTAGGTACCATTGTCAGATTAACAGCAAATAATGACTTATGGTTGGTTAATTTGATTTTTTAAATTTGCTAGAAATTTCATAGTCATCCTCGCAAGAAATCATTTTATTTATCACAAAAACCGTCAAAAATAGAAAAAACAAATGATAAATAAATAAATTAAAGTAAACAAGAAAATCAGAGGAAATTTTCAAAGTGACCTCCATTCACTTATTGGCAATATCCCATCCGCCACTGAAACTCCTGCAGAACCTTATCAAGAATATCTGGTTGAATGGCTCGAATTTCATTGCGAATTCTGTCCTTTAATTCTTCAATGGTATTTGGTCTATTTAAATAGCCCCATAAAGAGTACTCTAAGGGAGTGAGATCCGGAGATCTAGGGGGTCATTCGATAATTCTCCTTCGACCAATCCAATGATTAACAAATACTTGGTTTAATTAGTCGCGAACGATCACTGCAAAATGAGGTAGTGCACCGTCTTGTTGGTACCATATCCTGTTATTGGGCAGATCGGGATCTACGTCATTTGGGTAAAGCACTGCAAGTGCAGGGACTAAATCGTCTCTTAAAAATTCAAAATATTTTTCACCTATTAATGCGCCTTCAATGAAAAATGGCCAGCCCAAACGTTAACTTTTTGTGGAAACTGACTACGAGTTTCCATTTTCCAGTGTGGATTTTCAGGAGACCAATATCTACAGTTTTGCTGGTTTACTGTGCCGTTGAGATAAAAGGTAGCCTCATCAGAAAAAACAATATTGCGTAAGAATCCGTCGTCATCAATCAGGCGTTGCAACATGGTTTCACAAAACTGTAACCTACAGTCAGGATCATCTTCGTTTAATTTTTATACCAAAACCACTTTATACGGATGCCATTTGTACAATTTCAAATATTTTAAGACGGAGCTTTGAACTATTCCGTTGTTTGCCGCCACTTGGCGGGTAAATGGGGATTTTCTTGAAGCTCTAGTAGAACATCCAATTTAACATTCTTCTTGTACTGGTGGACGACCCGTTCTAGGGCGATCTCTCGAATGACCCATTTCTAAAAACTTTTGTTCTATTTTACTTACGGTGGACTGAGTAATTGGTTCTCTGTTTGGTTATTTGTTGTTAAATAAAGGGCAAACTTCTACTTGTGTGCGAGCTCTGTCCCCGTAACCGATCATCATCAAAATTTCGATTCTTTCCCTTTCACTCAAACGACGAACCATTTTCAAAGAAAATGAACTATGATAGAATAATGATTAATCAACTTAAGATAAAACACAAATTTGCGAGGGCAAACTTCAAAATTCTGACAACTATTAAAACTGTAATTTTTTCAGAGCTTCCTTGATAAATTAATAGTATTTTGTCATCGATTGTATAATGCGTTCTTGAAACTTTGGAACCGAATATCTCGAAAACTTCCATCTTGAAGGTCATACGTTTTTGACATATTAGTACTCAGAAAAATGTGCGCTATCGAAATCCGTGGAAAAAAATTGCCTTTTAAAAAAATTGCCGATGACGTCATAGCTCAAAAACAAACAAAACAAAAAAAGTCGATGGCTGAAAAAATGATATTTTATAAACTAAAGTTGACGTGTCCGAGGATTTCCTATCAAAACCCTTCAATAACGATTTATCGAATTTATTCCAAAGTTTACGAGCCCAGTGTATACATTCTTATGGAAGTGTTCATAGTGGAGTACTAAAGCCAAGTACTAAATGCCTGGCTTGGCGCTTCCCCACGCCGTATGGTGTAAGTTGGCATCACATCCCACGATGAGTTATTTCTTCTCCCTCTCGCACCAAGTCACCAGGTCCCTCAGTTCCCTGGTTGGAGGAGATTCTTTCTTATCGTAAGGGAGGTACGCTAAGCAAATCACCAGTTGTCTCTGCGTTCCCTCTGATACATAAGTTACTTCGGCCGCCACCAGGTCATCCGTACAGAATCCTGGAAGTGGAAAAATGTTAATATTATTCTTGTAATGAATACAAGTCCTAGGTCTAATTTGGTGACTACAGTACAGTAAGCTACCCTTAATTACCTGTAATCCTTTGATCTGGGATCCATGTACCCAGGGCTCTTGGATCAACGCCAAATCCGCATTTGCGCGCGCCAGACTGGGACAGAGAGCAGCGGATGTAGCTCTACTGTTTTGAATGTTCGCTTGTATCACCTGGAATTTGACCAGATGATTCAGATTTTGGTCCCTCCTGATCTTCATCAGAAGGTCCCAAATCTAACCTGACCTTCTTCGGGTTCTTAAAAAGGACCCTGGTAAAGTTCAGAAATGGTCTGAAGCCCTCCTTCTGAAGTGCCTTCACACTCATCTCATGAACTGAGAAGACAAGGGTCTGGCCCTTCTCCTCAACCTTGTGGTTGATTAGCCTCCAGGCCCCTGTCCTCAATTCCCCGTTTTGGTTTTCCGCATGATGGATTCCGGTTCATCGGGATACCCCGGAATCCAACTAGTGACCTTAGGTAGGTCCCTAGGCTCAACAGTGCTGAGTCTAGCCCCCTCCCAAGGTATCAAGCTCGCCGTATTTGTTTTTAGGAAGGCTCTCCTTGAAGGCGGTGACCGCTAGTGTTCCACCCCCTTCGACGACACTCCAGCGAGGTCGTGTACCCTCGCCCGCGATCCCATCAATGGCCCCCAGAAGCGCCGACTGGACAAGTCCCATCTGGTCCTCATCCATTCGGACTTCCGAGTATCCATGGGGAACCACCACTGATTGGACCCTCGACAGCGCCTCCACGTACGTCTTGCCCGTGGCCTTAGGCCTCTTAGAAACAGGTCGGTCGGAAATCGGCTCATTACCGTCCGACCGTCCACGTTTCTTTCCGAGTCCACTTGGCCCCGGTTCAGCTGCCTGCGGAGTTGGAGTGGTACTCGAGCCAGGTTCCGTCACCGGCCTCTGTCCTTTTCCCGCCTCTGCCTTCCGCAGTTTTTTAAGTTTGCGCTTTTGCGCACCAGACAATTGTTTCCTACCTTCCAGGTTCAGTCTGTCGACTCCCCTAGAGATAGTAGTCACTGGTGTTTGCTTCCCAGTGGCTGTTTTATTTCCCGGCCGGTCAGCACTTACTGCTTCCCCGGCAGGTGTAGACGGCCCCCTTTCGGGTTCCTGTTTTTTAGATTTTTGGTCCATAAAGGTCCCACGAGTCTGGAGGAAATAAAAGTCGCCGCCAGGCAGTGCCCCATACCTGACGGAAGGCTAAATACGATGAGGTGCGCCAGGTTCCCCAAAGAGATCGTTCACGATGCGATATTTTTACCTACCCCCGCACCATTCAGCCCTCGGCACGATGCGTTTCCACCTTGGCTTGGGTAGCTGAGCTGTTTCTTAGTTTTCACTACTCTCCCTCGACCTTTCCGGCTTGGGTGACCCTGCCAGGAGTATAAAACTCCCGCCGGTTTAGCTCTTGGGTTCACTGTAGCTACTTAAGCCCCTCCACCAGCGACAAGGTCATACAGCTCCCAGGAGGGG